CTCTTTTCTATGTTCACTTTTAACTTTATACCTTTACACACACTCCCAAACTTGTCCACTAACCTTTGCAATTTTTCTTTAGAATTTCCAATAAGCACAGTATCATCAGCAAAAAGTAACTGTGTCAATTCCCATTTTGTATTTGATTCCCCATAATTTAATCCCACCCCTCCTCCCAAACACCCTAGCATTTACTTCTTTTACAACCCCATCTATAAATATGTTGACCCTTTCTGGGTCCGTCCCATAGATCTACGGCTTCACGTTCAATGTCCGATTCGTAGATCTACGCCAAAATTCTAGCGCCGTCAAATTTAGCGCGAAAACGCTCATAGGCCTGCATGTGAGAGAATGGGTGTGCACCATAAACAAAAAATCTAGGCGCCCGCATAGCATTGTGGGAACGCCGGCTCAGTTACCCTTGTTCACCATGCCTCGTCACAAGGCAGCTCTCACTCCAAGGAAAATTGGGACTCTCCTCTTCCTATCTGATAGTTCTGACACTGATGGAAGTGGAAATGAAGATGAATTCTTTGGCTTTGATCAGTTAGTGACCGAAAGGAATGACCAGGATATCGATAATAGCGCAGAAAACCCTGACAATCCTCAACGTTCTACCTCTGGTGTGGGCACTCCTCAGTCTCGGTCAGTTGTACCTCAGCGCAAGAGAAAACTATTATTTTTGCATGGCTAGACCTCTGACTTCAGTAATGATGATGATAGTGATGTGGATTGTGATTTTATTGCTCTTGACGATCATTCGAGTAGTGATAGTGAGGAGACGTATTTATCAGTGAAACGTCGGTATGTACGCCGCCGCATGAGCTCGGGTAGTGTACCCTATGCAGTGCCCATGGGCCAGAGTACATCCCAGAGTACATCCCGTGGCCCTACACCAGGAATAGACAGTGAAAGTGAGGATGATGTGGCTACACTTGGCATGGATAGACCACAGGCATCAGTAGATGGTGGTAGTGGTGATGGTGGTGCCACGGCCATGCATGACTCGCCAGCCCAGGCTGGGACCCACGCTGCTGACTCCGCAGTTCAAGGACAAAGCGGAGCGTCAGCCACCAGCCCACCACAACCACAACTACCCTCACAACCAGCCTGTGATGTCCAGTATCCACCAGCAAACCATATCTGGGATTGGCAGCAAAATCCCAATTTTGTTCCCAAGCCCCACCACTTTGATGACTCTCAAAGTGGAATTCTCCCTACTTGTTCCCTTGGAAACACGGCCAATGAACTGGAATTTTTTGAAATATTCTTTGACCAGGCTTTGATGGAAATTATTTTCAGGGAAAGTAACAAGTATTTTGAGTACACCATGGCAAATACGATCATATCACCACAGTCAAGACTACACCAGTGGAAAGAGACAACTGTTGCAGAAATGTATTTGCTTTTTGCAACAAAAATGCTTATGCCTCATGTCTATAAGCATAATATAAAAGCATACTGGTCCACAGATCGGCTAATTTCTAGCCTAGTCTTCATTGAAATCATCCCACTTCACATGCACTTCTCTGACAAAACCAGGCCTGCCAGAAGTGACAGGTTATACAAGATTAGAAATGTTTTTATGTATCTCAAACAAAAGTTCAGCATATACTTTTATCCATTCAAGAATCTTGTAATTGACGAGTCTTTGATTTTGTTCAAAGGTAGGCTGTCATTCAAACAGTATATACCGAGCAAGAGGAAACACTTTGGTATAAAACTGTTTGTACTCTGTGACTGTGACAGTGGCCTGATATTGGATATTGTTGTATACACGGGAAGTAAAACATTGAAAGATACCAAGATGTTATTGGGTATCTCAGGTGACGTAGTGAGAAGCATGATGGCACCTTATCTTGGTAAGGGGTATACATTATATACTGATAACTGGTTCACAAGCCCTTTACTCAGTGATTTCTTGCGAGTGAATAAGACAGACGTGTGTGGCACAGTGAGGTCTAATCGCAAACATATGCCCAGGCTCAACGCAGGTGCTCTTTCTTAGTACATACTTGACTGGTCCCTCTTACTCTTACTACCTCTCCACTACTACTTCCTCCACCTCCACTACTACCACTACTACTACTACTACCACCTTCTGCCTATATATACCCATCTTCTCTCGTTCTTGTTAGTGTGACTTTGTAAATGGTCCACGTCGGACCGAAACATCGTCGTAAGCTCCTCTTTTCTATGTGCAGGTTATTTGTGTATCTCTTATCATTCGCACAACATCCACACACATTCAGACATCCCACTTTGACAGTTTTGTTCTTCTTATTCTTTTTTATGATAATTACAGGAAAAGGGGTTACTAGCCCACTTTTCCCGGCATTTTAGTTGACGTTTACAACACGCATGGCTTACGGAGGAAAGATTCTTCCCCATGGATATAAAAGGAAAAGTACTAAGAACAAGAACTATTAAGATAAAATCAAAGAAAATTCAGATTAGTGTGTATAAATAAATGTGTACATGTATGTGTAGTGTGACCTAAGTGTACATAGAAGTAGCAAGACGTACCTGTAATCTTGCATATTTATGAGACAGACAAGACACCAGCAATCCTGCCATCATGTAAAACAATTACAGGCTTTAGTTTTACACTCGCTTGACAGGAGGGTAGTATCTCCCTGGGGTGGTTGCTGTCTACCAGCCTACTACCCTGATATAATCCCATTTATTTCTCTCCATTGAAACACTCTTACTCCCTCAAATTTTGTTTTGCTTAGAGCCAGGACTTCCAGCTTCTTTCCATTCATGACATTGAAAATCATCTCTCTTTTATCATCTGCTCTACACTCATGCATATTCAAATATCCCAAATTTATGTTATTTCTACAGGAGAAGGGGTTACTAACCCCTTTCTCCTGGCATTTTAGTTGCCTTTTATGATGCGCAAGACTTACAAAGGAAAGGTTCTACTCCGTAGAAAGGAAAAGAAATAAGTGGAAGAACTGTAAGAAAGTTCTGATGGGTGTGTATACATATATGAGTACGTGTATGTATAGTGTAAGTACAGTGGAACCTCAAAAATCGAACTTAATCCGTTCCAGGAGCTAGTTCTAAATTCGAAAAGTCTGAAATTCGAAGCAATATTTCCCATAAGAAATAATGGAAATACAATTAATCCATTCCAGAAACCCAAAATATTCACACAAAAAATACATTTTATTGAGATTAATAATAGTTTTACATACAACAAATACTATAGTTTTTAATTATGTATAGTAATACATTTAAAATAACATTTTTACTTACCTTTTTTGAAGATTGGTGATGGCATCTGGAAGATAGGGAGGAGGAGAGAGAGAGTTGGGGTTAGTGTTTGGAAGGAGAATCCCCCTCCATGAGGACTTCAGGTAAAGCCCTCTCTGGGGTTACTTCCCTTCTCTGTCTTTTATTGCCACTAGGACCAGCTTGAGAGTCACTGGACCCCTGTCTCACAAAATAACTGTCCACAGTCCTGTTTCTGGTGCCTCTTTAACATTTCCCTAAAATGGGACATGGTTCTGTCACTGAACTTGTTGCAAAGATGGCTTGTTTCAGCTTGCTTAGGGTGGTACTTCTGCACAAACATTTGGACATCATTCCACTTGGCACAAATCTCGTTAATCTTTGAAGAAGGCACCTCATCCACTCCCTATATTAACACCTTTCACAACATCAGCTTCCTTGATTTGTTCTTTCTTTAACAGGTCGACTTGTTTTTCCCATACATCCTGGCAAGCTCAACAAGTCTCACACCACTCTCATACTTCTGTATTATTTCCTTCTTCACATCTATGGTGTTTCTCACTTTCTTTACCATAGGGGTACCACTAGCAAGTTTCTTTGGGCCCATGGCAGCTTATTTCACAGTCCCACAAGCACTAAACACAACGAAATAATCGTAAAATGCGTGAATGAGAGCGCAGGTTAGTGTTCACTCAAGCATAAACAAGGCTAGACTGCTCATGGCGCCTGCGCGGGGACGCGGACAGAGCGGGCGGTAGACAGGTCCAGTACCCGGGGTCCGAAAATAGGGGCGCGTTCGATAATAGGGACACAATTTGTCCGAAAAAATGGTCCTATTTTCGAAACATTCGATATGTGACACGTTCGATTTTTGAGGTTCCACTGTAGAAGTACCAAAATGAACCTCTTACCTTGCATGTTTATGAGAAGGAGAGAAAAGAACCAACAATCGTACTATTGTGTAAAGCAATTACAAGTTCCCATTTCATACATTTGGCAGGACGGTAGTACCTCCCTGGGTGGTTGCTGTCTACCAACCTACTACTGCTACTATATATTATTATTGTTATTATTATGTTTATAATTATTATTATTATTACTAATTATTTTCAGTTCATTACATGAGCACCTCATATTTTTTCCCATCATTATTAGTTAAAAGATTTTTACTATATTGTACTGGCAAGTCCTGCTTATACAGCAGGTTAGGCTTGAAGCTGCTGCCATAAAGAAAAAACAGCTGTAACATGAAACATAGCCTTTTTTCATTTTCAAATGCATATAAAAGCCTGATAACATGTTTACACTAAATGCATATACTGTGCACACATTACTTACCTTAAAATATTTTCATCCTTAGTTTATACTGAATATATTTATTGTGGAAAGTCTGAATAAATGAAGAATTGGTATAATTGAAAACCAGTGCATTAGCCAAACACTGTAAAGTTGGGCCATCCTGTATCTAGTTTATCATGTTAGTTCTTTTATCCTAGTTCTTCATTTCATTATAACTTGTTTGCTTTTCATAGTTCATTTTTTCATCAGTTTTCTTCCCACATACTGCCCAGGGTTGAGCTGTGGGAGTAGGAAGACTCTAAAAACTCAAAAGAGGCATTCTAAAGCTACCCAACTTTCTAGTTGCTCTCAGTATACTGTATGCTAACTTTTCTGTACCTTTCACTGGTTCATATTTTATCCTTCACTGCCTTTATCTCTTGATTGCACTTCCTATTTTACTGCTCATGTTTAAATTACAGAGCGACCTTGAAGAGAGAAGACGCAAAAGAAGGAAAGACAAACTTGCTCTCATAGCCCGGTTGAATACACGTCGTTGTCAGGCATGTCCCATATATGGTTCAGATCTGATGGAGGCTGTTGCTGTAATTAATACTTGTCATGGTACAACCAACAGTCATGCAGGATGGAGTGGTCAGGGAATGATACACTGTCTTCAAGCAACAGATCTGAAGTCCCACCTTTATGAGTCTCAGACAGACACCCTCCACAGAATAGTTAACACTCCAGAAACCTATTTAAAACAGTTAAAAGATACCACTGACAGATATGTGTTCTGTATACCATCAGTGGTGGCACCACCCATTTGTTCAAGAATGAGCCACCCATCACCATCTAAACTCTGGGCACAAGAAAGAACAAAATCCTTATTAAAAAAACACCTTTCTCCTGGCATTGCTCCCCTTCATCACATAATGAATGCAGCAGTCACACAGTTCCCAGACCCCAGGCTTATTCAGTATGATTGTGGTAAGTGTATAATTTTTCTTAATAGATGGCAATATTTTGGTAAGTCAATCATTACTTTATTTATTCTTTCATGATAGGGCAGTTGTAAAGTGTACTAATGATTTAACTAGCAGAACATGTTTAAGTCTAAGATGATGTACATAATAGAGTTTGTCATATTTTGTAGGTAGCAGTTCCATCATTGGATGCAAGAAAATACTTGCTGTTCTTTAAGGTCTCTGAATGAAATGTTCCATTCTCCTGTTCATGTTGCTTTTTTAATCACTATCAAGAAATGTAAAGCATTTCATTACACTAATGGTATACAATATCTACAAGTGGATTCATAAGACACATTGAGTACCAATATAGATACCCAGGTGTTGCACATGTATCTTGTTCAGTAATATATGTTGACTTTCTTATGGGTAGAATGAGATGTAAAGTTGTTTGAGTTCTTTATGATTTTTGTATTACAGATCCTGTATTTGTTATTGCAACTTGCTGCAGATGTATTGTTGCACCTTTTTTCATAGTTTTTAATCACTTCAGTTACTTAACCCAGTTAGTTCCCTACAAGTGTCATTTCTTTGTTGAAAAACTGGTTGTTTGAATTTTTGCATTACTGTTTTAATAATAAATTCTAAATATTTCTGTATCTGTGACTTCCATAAAAAACATTAATAGATATTTGACCTAACATCATAGTTCTTCATTTTATGTTTATACAGCCTCTCCTCACTTAGCACGTACTAGTTTACCGACGACTCGAACTTCCAACAGGCTCTCTGACCAGTATGCATACCTAAATATATTACAGCTGATTTCCTCTATTCTGTTTATTACAGTATACAGTACACTATTGTATAAACATTTAAATATATAATAAAAATGTTATAAATGGTGCAAAGGTGACAGTAAAACATTATCAAAGATGGCTGACACAAACCCACTACCATTATAGTATGCTCCTTGCTTGATGATAAATTCATTTACCAACATGATCTTAGGGATAAAGCTCCAACGTTAGGTGAGGAGAGGCTGTACTTTATAATGAAACTCGTACATTCTGATAAAGTTTTCAGCGATTTAACTTTTTTGAATATACAGTGGAACCTCGGTAGTCGACTTTAATTCATTTCAGAAGGCTGTTCGACTGCCGATCTGCTTGAGTACCGAATGAATTTTTCCCATAAGGAATAATGTAAATTAGATTAATCCGTTTCAGACCTCCGAAAATACACTTACAAAAGCATTTTAACACAATATTTACAAGCCTAGCATACATAAATCTTTAAAAGAAAAAACTAAACACAATGAATTAGATATAATAAATGCAATTTTATTTTATTTTTTTTTTTAACACGGCCATTTCCCACCAAGGTAGGGTGGCCCGAAAAAGAAAAACTTCCATCATCATTCACTCCATCACTGTCTTGCCAGAGGCATGCTTACACTACAGTTACAAAACTGCAACAATAACACCCGTCCTTCAGAGTGCTGGCACTGTACTTCTCATCTCCAAGACTCAAGTCCGGCCTGCCAGTTTCCCTGAATCCCTTCATAAATGTTACCTTGCTTACACTCCAACAGCACATCAAGTCCTAAAAACCATTTGTCTCCATTTCCTCCTAACACGCTTACGCATGCTTGCTGGAAATCCAAGCCCCTAGCACACAAAACCTCCTTTACCCCCTCCCTCCAACCTTTCCTAGGCCAACCCCTACCCTGCCTTCCCTCCACTACAGATTTATACACTCTGAAAGTCATTCTATTTTGTTACATCTACATGTCCAAATCATCTCAAAAACCTCTCCTTAGCACTCTGGATAATAGTTTTGGTAATCTCACACCTCCTAATCTCCAAAATACAAATTCTCTGCATTATATTCACACCACACATTGCCCTCAGACATGACATCTCCATTGCCTCCAGCCTTCTCCTTGTTGTAATATTCACCACCCATGCCTCACACCCATACAAGAGCATTGGTATAATTATACTCCCATACATTCTCCTCTTTGCTTCCATGGACAAAGTTCTTTGTCTCAACAGACTCCTCAGTGCACCACTCACCTTTTTCTCCTTGTCAATTCTGATTCACCTCATCTTTCATAGACCCATCTGCTAACACGTCCACTCCCAAATATCTTCCATTACCTAATTTTTCTGTCATCCTCATCACCTTACTCTTTCCTATATTCACTTTTAATTTCCTTCTTTTACATACCCTACCAAACTCATCAACCAACCTCTGCAACTTCTCTTCAGAATGTCCCAAAAGCACAATTTAAACCCCACACCTCTTGCCAACCCCCGAGCATTCACTTCTCTTATAACTCCACCTATAAATATGTTGAACAACCATGGTGGCATCACACATCCCTGTCTAATGCCTACTTTTACTGGGAAGTAATCTCCCTGTCACCTACATACCTGAGCCTCACTATCCTTGTAAAAACTCTTCACTGCTTTCAATAACCTACCTCCTATTCCATACATTTGCAATATCTGTCACATTGCCTCCCTATCATACACCTTTTCCAAATCTATAAATGCCACAAAAACCTCTTTACCCTTATCTAGACACTGTTCACCTATATGTTTCACTGTAAACACTTGGTCTACACACCCCCTACCCTTCCTAAAGCCTCCTTGTTCATCTGCTATCCTGCTCTCTGTCTTACTCTTAATTCTTTCAATAATAACTCTACCATACACTCAGCAGACTTCTTCTCCTATAAGTTTTTACACTTCTTTTGTCCCCTTTGCCTTTATACAAAGGAACTATGCATGCTCCCTGCCAATCCCTAGGTACCTTACCCTCTTCCATACATTTATTAAATAAAAAACCACTAACCACTCCAAAACTATATCAACATCTGCTTTTAACATTTCTATCTTTATCCCAGCAATCCTAGCTGCTTTACCCCCTTTCATTCTGCCCACTGCCCCATGCACTTCCCCCACACTCACAACTGGTTCTTCCTCACTCCTATAAGATGTTATTCCTCCTCTCCCTATACACGAAATCACAGCTTCCCTATCTTCATCAACATTTAAGAGTTTCTCAAAATATTCCCTCGATCTTCCTGATACCTCTAACTCGCTGTTTAATAACTCTCCTCTCCTATTTTTAACTATCAAATCCATACGTTCCCTCGGCTTTGTCAACTTACTAATTTCACTCCAAAACTTTTTATTATTTTCAAAAAAATTTTATCTCACCCACTCATTTGCTCTCTTTTTACACTGCTTCACCACTCTCTTAACCTCTCTTTTTCACTGTATACTCCTCCCTCCTTGCATCAGTTTTACTTTGTAAAAACCTCTCATATGCTTTTTCTCTCTTGCTACTCTCCTTACATCATCATTCTTCCACTCGCTCTTCTTCCCTCCCGCACCCACTTTCCTGTAACCACAGCCTTCTGCTGAACACTATATTCTTAAACTTACCCCATGCATCTTCTACCCCATTGCCTTTACTCACACTAGCCCATCTGTCCTCCAACAGTTGTTTATATCTTACCCTAACTGCCTCCTCCTCTAGTTTATAAACCTTCACCTTTCTCTTAGTTGCTGCTTCCACTTTCCTTGTATCCCATCCACAGTTTACTCTCACTGTAGCTACAACTAAAAAGTGATGTGATATGTCTGTGGCCCCTCTATAAACATGTACATCCTGAAGTCTACCCAACAGTCTTTTATCTACCAATATGTAATCCACAAAACTACTGTCATTACACTCTGTATCATATCTTGTATACAGGTCTCCCTCAACATTCGCGAGGGTTAGGGGATCAAGATCCTCGCAAATGTTGAAAATTTTGCGAATGTTTAGTGTCCCAATATATTGTAGGGAAATATAATACAGTACTGCTTCCTTAACTTGTTGAACCATGAACAATCATAAAATACATGAAAATGTCGTAAATTGTACTAAATACATACATGTTATGGTTTAAGAACATGTATGCTATTAAATACCACTGCCTCCACCACTTCCTCAACCACTGCGAGTCCCTACTACCCTCCCTCCGACCCCAGCAACTGGCAGCCAACCCTCCCACCACTGTGTGGTGTTTTGTTTGTTCATTATTTCCTATTAAACTACGGTATAAATAATGTAAACCCATTCATGACTGCATATTGGAATGGCTATTCAGACAGGTATTGGACGGTGACATGTGTTTACTCTTGAACACAGCAAAGAATCAAACATTTCTGCTACTGCCAATAATAACAATAGTAATAATAATAATAATAATAATACAGTGGACCCCCAGTTTACGATAAGCTTCCAATGCGACCAATTATGTAAGTGTATTTATGTAAGTGTGTTTGTATGTGTATGTTTGGGGGTCTGAAATGAACTAATCTAATTCACAATATTCCTTATGGGAACAAATTCGGTCAGTACTGGCACATGAACATACTTCTGGAATGAAATAATATCGTAAACCGGGGGTCCACTGTAATAAATAATAATAATAATAAATACGATAGAATTGAAGAAGGAAATTGTACAAAAACATGAGGGATTGGTTGACACATGGTCAGTGTGGCTTTGTTTATGCTGGAGTGAGCATTAGTCTCCGTGCTCTTCCAAACATTTCAGAGTAATTCATTGTGTTTGGTGCTTGTAGATTGAGTGCGACTGGAGTGGTAGAGGCAGTGGTTGAGGCAGTGGGTGAGGCAGCAGTTGAGGCAATGGTTGAGGCAGCAGTTGAGGCAGTGGTTGAGGCAGTGGTTGAGGCAGTGGTTGAGGAAGTGGTTGAGGCAGTGGTTGAGGCAGCGGTTAAGGCAGTGGTAGAGGCAGCAGTTGAGGCAGCGGTTGAGGCAGCGGTTGAGGCAGCAGTTGAGGCAGTGGTATTTAATAACATATATGTTACAAATAATAATAGTACATGTTATTATTAATAATGTATTATTATTATTAATAACACGTATGTTATTAAATACCACTGCCTCAACCACTGCCTCAACTACTGCCTCAACCACTGCCTCAACTACTGCCTCA